TTTTTTTTTTTTTTTTTTTTTTTTTTTTTTTTTTTTTTTTTTTTTTTTTTTTTTTTTTTTTTTTTTTTTTTTTTTGCATACCCTTCATCCCCGCATTGATTCTGGTCTGGAAACCTCAGATTTGGTTGAGCCTTTTTGATTTTGCGTTTTCTTCCTTTAATTTTCATTTCTGTCACAGAGTTGAAGGGATCGGGATCGCTAAATGGTCTTTTTCAGCTCCTCCTCATTCGATCAATTGGCCGCAAATCCTATACAATTCACCCCATTTCGATGTTTTTAGGGTTTATTCTTTGAATGTCACTTCAATTTTCGAAATCCGAAATCCGAAATCCCTCTTTCTTTGTGCAAACTGACGATTAAGGTATTTTTCCCCCCCAACTCCGACCTGTTCATCCGAGCTTTTCTTCCATTTGCAAATTCACCCCAGTTTTGAGGTTTTTAGCTTTTCTGATTCTCATTTATTGAAACCTTATACTTCTGCAGCTACTTCTCTTTTGAATTCTTAGGTTTCTTGAAGGTTCTTCGGTGAAGAGATGATCAGTCTGTGATTTTTGGGTATTTTCACGGGCTGGCTATTAAACACAATGCGTCTGTTTCCTCTGAGATCTAGCCCGGACTATACCGAGGACAAGGAGCAGGGCGGCAGTCATGCTTTGTTGTATCTTAACGTCTACGATCTTACTCCCATAAATAACTATCTCTATTGGTTGGGGCTCGGAATCTTTCATTCGGGTATTGAGGGTATGTAAACCATATACTTCTTTATTACTATTGTTGTGTGCTCATTGCACATTTTCATTTTCCCTTTGAATTCTATTTGCAATGGTTGTAAATTGGTTATCTTGAGATGAATATATGAATCGTGGATAATGAAATGGTATGTTTTAGTTTCATTGGAATGGGAGGGAGCTGTAATTAGTTGAACTTCGATATTTGTTAGGGGCATACCTTTGAGCTCACCCATTATGCAATCCTATATCGGAGTATGATCTATTGAACCTTCATGGGATTATTGGCACGCATCTGCGAGAAATATGGAGCTTTTTCTTGAAACATACTAATGAATGATCGGTAGAAAGTTTTCGTTTAGTTAATTAGGACGATGAAAGTTGAGGATGACATATTCCGTGGGACTGTCGCAAATGTAACCGAGCATGCCATTACTTGATAGTTGTTCTCTTCTTTAACTTCATGTGTAACAGATTCTGTTCATAGCTCTGTTGAGGATCTGTTGCTTAATGAATTGTTTCTTATACTGATTAGTCGTTTCAGTCTGCTCATTGTCGGTCATGACATTATGAGTACAACTATAAGGCATTTGGGTAACTACACGTTCCTCAAGTTTGTTCATTTTATAATAGTTGGAAAACGGTTCACGTTTCAGTTGTTCCAATCTCAATTGGTCGTAGACAAGTTGTCAGCTGATATTAAACGCCCTTCCTTTGAACTAGAGGTCAATCTTTTCGTTCAATAGGATAGATGATTGAAATAGTCGACCTTATTTGTATAAAAAATATAGGATGGGGATGGTGTATGCAGGGTTTAAAACCCTTTGGTCACATTTAGGTTATGTCACCTATAGCCTCATAATAACATAATTATAGGTAAATGCTTCCATTTGAAACTTCATTGACAAACTAGATGTGTTGTTCTGTTTGCATTTTATCCTGGCATATAGTCATTTTTACCTGATTTGATGCTCAGTTCACGGTATGGAGTTTGGCTTTGGAGCACATGAATATCCTACCAGTGGCGTATTCGAGGTAGAGCCGAAAAGTTGCCCTGGATTCATCTTCCGAAGGTCAGTGTTATTGGGAAGCACTGATTTGTCTCGTGCTGAATTTCGATCATTCATGGAGCACCTTTCTTCAGAGTACCATGGTGATACATATCATTTGATTGCCAAAAATTGCAACCATTTTACAGAAGAAGTCAGCATGCGACTGACTGGGAAGCCCATTCCTGGATGGGTGAATCGGCTTGCCCGATTAGGTAAGAACTATTTTCATCTTCAGCATGCAATTTTGTGCCATGGAATAAGCTCGGATGGAATTGATCGGACCGCTGTGTGTATTCCACAGTACCTCGAGAATCTCCTTAAGATGTTTCTCTTAAGATGAATTCCACAACTACTATATGTTCTTGTATTTTTAAGAGGGTTCTTGATGCTTGCTTAAGTCTTTTACCTGATGATACCATTATTTGGAGTTACAGGTTCATTCTGCAATTGTCTTCTTCCAGAAAGCATTCAGATTTCAGCAGTGAGACATCTTCCTGATCATCCAGCATATTCTGGTATGTTCCTGAATAGAAACACTAAACAACCAGTGTATTTCTCTTAAGATTTACTTTCGTTCTCGTCCTCGTCCTCCTGTTGAATTATTCCCCGTGATTTTCGTGTCATAATGCAGATGACGATGATGGGTCAGAATCGCTTGCATCTTCTATATCACCAAGGAGCGAAGATGAGGAATCGGATCATCTACTGATGGCTCCTAATGGCGAGGTAGCATTCCTAAAAGAGAAACCAGTGAAGGTGGCTAGAGAACCTGCTTAATTCATTTACCCTTTGGTTCCAACTTCCTTGGCTTCATATTTATTGTTTGTATTTGTGATATATAGTATTGTGTGTATGATTTGATCAGGCCAAATTACTTGAGATCCTGACGTTTTAAGCGATATGATGATAGTAGCTTAGAGCTTATATGATGTTCTGTATCATTTGGAAAATGTTAAGGTGAAGGAACATGGCACCCATGTTGTTGAAACTGTATTCATCTATGTAAAATATCTACACAACACATGTACTTCGCTCTTATTACACCAACTCGTTAGATTCAAGCCTAACATTAGTAGATATTGTCTTATTTGTGCTTCTCATTTCAAGTTTTCCTTCAAAGTTTTTAAAATGCCTCTATAGGATTCTATACCTTTATAAGAAATATTTCATTCTCCGCCTCAACTGATGTGTAATTTCACATTATCATACATTACTGTCACATCATGACTCGTGACTGTCATTGCCATCGCCTTGGGATGATATCATTTAAGAATTCATTTTGTGGCTGTTTTTTTTTTTTTTTTCATTTTCTAAATCTAACTAGTGACGTCACCCAATGCATGCATAGTTCATTACGCGGAAGCTCATTATAAATAACCTTAAAAAACACAACGAAAACAAACCTACTTCCGAAAATAAACCTTCAATATCCGTAAACCTTCAATTCAGAATAAATCTAAATTGAACTCTAAATAAAACAATACTCAATACTATAATTTTAAAAAAAATAAAACAATACTCAATGCTATAACTAAAAAAAATAAAAAAATAAAATAATACTTAATGCTATAACTTAAAAAGTCAAATAAATGTAACTCCTAACAATATCCCATCTCCAACTTTCATGGTGAGCTCAGCTTAGCTCCTCCTAACAATATCCTATCTCCAACTTCCATGGTGCTCTCAACTCCTCTTAACAATATCCCATCTCCAACTTCCATGGTGTACATTGGCGCTTTGTCTTTACCTGAAAAATGTAGGTAGCACGTGGCTAGAGTATTTTATGAAATACTCAGTAAGTCACCTCCACTATTGAGGTTAGGAATGCAAACACATGCTTTGAGCGGGACCTAACTTTTCATAAACTTTACATGGCTTTGGGCGCTTTTCTATTCTGGGTAGGGTTGGATGTGTAGTACTCCTTCACACATGGCCCATGTACGCATACATGGACCCACCAGGCGAGCTCATATACATACCCCTGGGTCTAGCTTGGTCGGGCACAACGTATTACACGTCGTCGGACACCACAGAACATAAAAGGGCCCGCATGAAATTATGGCGAACATAAATATCATAATTCATTCTTTTGTATCATAAAGGGGAAGAATCCCAATGCACATGACATACATATATACATGAGGTCCCTTTAACATATCTAACATGACATTACATAAGCATTGCTAATATCGCATATACGTTTCTTACATTACATGACATCTCACATGACTTACATTACATGACATATTACATAACATGAAAGTACATTCCAGTTGCATAAACATCTCATGACATGACTCGATAATACTACGTGTATCCATGACATCGATCGACATTTTCATGGCATATATTACTAACATATCATTCATAACTTCATATAACATAAACGGTCAACGGTCAACATAACCCATTACGTTTCATAGCATAAACAGTCACATAATTCATACATCATAGTCATATCACATAATAAAACATGGTGCATGCAGGGGCCATAAGACACGCACCATCATACAACACGTAGTAAACTAACTCCAGCAGTGAGGTCACTTACCTCGATGGCCTTGGCCGAAGTCACTCACAACAAGCTAATCCCAACAGTTAAATACGTCCTATAATAACCACATAAAAATTTAAAGGAACCTTTCATAACATACCCTAACTAAATCTCATGTTATTTATCAAAATAAACTCCCAACCCAATCTGTCTTTGATGGTTAGGAATCATACTGACCTCGTAAAACTAAGGCAGAAACGGCTTCGGAAGGGCCAAAAACCCTGGAATCGATATATTATAGTGATATCAAGCCGAATAAGCCTAGCTGCCGAGCCGACCAACTAAGCCGCCAAGCCAAGCTACAGGAATTGACAGAACCGAGCCGATTTCGTACGCGTGCAAAGCTGCCGGAGCTGTTGGACGTGCGTCTACGGCTAGACTCGATTCCAAAAACCTCACCTTCCTACTTGACAAGCGACGAAACCCTAGTTTCCGCCTTCCCGATTCTGGCAACGCGCTGACGATCCCACAACGTCCTCAACACCGATTTTCGACGGTCAACCTTCTTTGACACAATGATCCCGACATCAATACCTTACTTCCACTCGATTCTTCCTCTGAAGAGCAACCCCAACTTTCCGGAGGAAAGTTTGGAGAGAAAATTGTTTTCAAGGGATGTAAAAGATTAGGCATAGGAATATAAAAATAATCTCAGACATTTACCAATAAGACATTATAGGGTTTTAGGATAATGAAACTTAAATATGAATGTTTCTATTAAATAATAAAAATCTAACGGAAAGATTACATTTAATTAATTATTTTTATTTTTATTTGATTTTATTTTATTTTATTCGAGAAACTTTACCATTTCCAGTAATAACTTCTTTATTGAAAATTTGAATGGGAAAGAAAACAAGAAAGATTGATTAAAATTATAATTTGACAATTTGTTGATTTTAAAATATAAACTCTGTACACTGCTCTCAGATCCGGAAATGATAATAGACTTTGAAATATTTTATCATTTTTAGGAGCTTTATAATTTTTAGGAGCTTCTGTTCTGCCATGGATACTTCAAACTAACCCACTCATTCCGCCATTAAAGCACCTCAGAGCCCAAATCCACTGCCATCGGAGATATGAACGCCACACCTCCTGACTCCGAGATCCATCCCACTCAACCAGAAACCAAAATCTCGAGATGGGTTGCAGAAACGGTCGACGAATCCACCATCCACGGCGTCGAAAACGAGCTCCTGGTTCTGCGGAAAATGCTCGAGAAACCAGAAGTTGACGGCGGTGGAAATGGGTTCAGGGCAATCGGAGTCACCGGAGTCCGAGGGATAGGGAAATCGACGGTTTGCCGGGCCTTTCTCCAAAACCCAGAAGTGAAATCCAAGTTTCTCCCGAGGATTTGGGTCTCCATGTCGAGAATTTTCAGCGAAGACAGAGATACCAAAATCGCTGTACTCAAGAGAATATTAATCTCTCTCGGAGTCGGAATAGACACAAATATTCCCGGCGAACAAACAGTCCGCCGCCTCCTCTACGCCCTCCGCCTGCAACTGAGAGGGAAACGCTATCTGGTTGTGTTGGATGACGTACAAGAATCGGAAACAGAGGAAGAACAAAATGGGTTTTGGGATTTAAATTGTTCCCAGAAAACCGGAGAGAATTTTAGAGATGGGTTTCCAAGAGGGGAAGGCGGGGCAATTATAGTGACGAGCAGAAGCGAGAAAGCTGCAAAAGGTATGGTGGGTGAGGGAAATTTGCGGCGTTTGGTTCCTCAGAAAGACCCAGAAAGTTTGTGGAAAATATTCTGGCAAGAAGTTGCAAAGGATGGAGATTCCAGCCTCCATCGCCATCGCCATCATTCAAATCTGAAGGAAACCAAAGTGGAGGTGATGAAGAAATGCGGCGGCCTTCCACTGGCGGCCAAGATGATGGGTCAGATTAAATTCATCCAACAACATTCCAACAATCCCGACACTCCTTAATTCTCTCTGCTTTCTCCTTTCTTTCCCATTTTCTTCTCACAATTACAGTGCTGTTTGTTTGTTACTTTCAAATTACTTTCAAAATAATATTAATTTTTTTTTATTTTATATTTTATTATTAGAAGGAATATGAGGATTGTGTAGAGGAGAAGAAAGGAATTTGGAAAAGAAGATGATTGGTTGCTCAAAGGCTGACTCGTGGAAAAATGACATATGTAGGAAATTGTGAACCATACACTAAATTTAATAAATATCATACAATAAAGTCTCCAACTACTCGTACTATATGCTATTAATGTGGGGTTGGTACACAACTTTATTTTGATAATGCATCTATCATTTAATATATAGTACGATATATACAAGTCATTTGATTAAATTGAATGAAATTTTTTTGGACCAACCTAAGAATTCAAGTTGGTTGGATTAATAACTCAACTTCATAATTTAGAATTTAGTTGCTATTGTCGTTAAATTTTTATTTATTTATTTACCATTTAGGATATTAAGAGTTCACAGATACAAATCAATCTATAATCATTAAAAAAACAAATTCTTCATTGATAAACAAGCTTTCGGGGTCGGGGTTAAGGTAGAGAACAAACCCATTAAAGAAAATGAGAGTCAGGTGTAGTTACTTATCTACTATGAGTTTTGCTCTGGCATGGCCTTCAGTGATTTGAAACTGTTCTCCAAGCCCGAAATGCGCCATTAACAACCAAACCAAAGTGATGAGCTCTCCTCCTTTACTGACCTGTTGAGCATGTTGGTCTGGTCTGCAATGGCTGGCTGCATATCCCAACATTTCGATCCACACTTTGCTCATAATCTCCCATTTTTCCTCTTTGAACTCTCTTAGCTTCTTAGCAAGTATTGCAGCATCAAACAGTACAGATTTGCTTCTATCTCCCTTCACTGTCACCGGTTTCGCTTTTATGTTCACCCCGAGTATCTCCCGACAAGCCCTTCTGTTTGTATCTTCGTTCGAGCTACACTCCAATCCTCGTCGGTCAAAGAACTTTTTCGCCTCGGCACAGGTGTCCCTGAACCTTATTTCCCCAAGTCCTGCCACGACCGACATCATTGAGGGGAGCATCACCAATAGGTAGAGCATGTAATCTGATAACAGCTTGCTGAATTCTGGAGGAGTAAGAGTTTTGTTGTTGGCGCTCGTGTTTTGTTCGTCTCGGAAGCAAAGTTCTGTAGCTATGTGCCATAGAATAACACTCTCGTCAAAAGCAACATCGTTGAAGTAGGATATCAGCTCATCGACATCGGCGTTCGAGTTAAGCTCCATTGATTTCAATGCATAGGAGCCTCTAGATGAACATATTGCTTCAGTAACTTGTGCACTTTCTGCAGCTTTGGACTTGTCTTGCATCTCTCGGAAGATAAAGCCCCAATGATCCTCAAAAACGGGCTGTCTGGAGACATATTTCCAATCATCAAGGAACTCTTTGGCACCAAGATAATCAACCACAACAACCTTTGCATCACGAAACCAACGAATAAGTTTCTTCCAAGCAAGATTGCAGCCACAACAGAATGATTTGTTCCTCAAATCATCCATTGGAATACGTTCACAGAGGCAATATGATATCAAATTGAACTGAGACACAGACTCACACCATCGACGAACGATTCGTGGAGTGTCGAGCTTCTTACAGCCTGAGAATGGTGGCTTGTTATGCTCAGACAATCTCAGCCCTTTGAGGCGGAGGAAGTGTTTAAAAATGGTGGCAACACAGGAATCATCCTTTTTAAGGGAAGCCACAGTCCAATCAGAGGAGATAGTCATGAAAATGGATATCAATTCTAAAACTAAAGCCCCAATAAGCAAAGCATAAGTAATCCTAACGTCAATTTTGTCAAAATCAGTTTTATCCAAATGGGTAAACAGAATCAAAGCCGTAATCACAGAAGATACAGAAACGAATCTGAAAAACCATCCATATTTGTTATGAAGAACAACCAGTTTGGTGAAGAGAACTTCATATATGAAGTTGAGTTCAACTTCGATGATCTTGAGGGCATCAATTGGGGTTCTTGCCAAGAAGAAATCCCTGCTTTCATTTCGCTCCTTAAAGCTAAATATCAAATCAACAATCAAACCCTTGAATTTGTTAAAATAAAGAAAGGCGTATTGAACAACCTCAAGCTCATTCAGAGTACCCTGTTTTACTGTGCTTGTGAAAGGGCTCCATTCTTTGTTAGGCTCTTCGACGAGATCAATGCGAGTAGGCAAATGGGCAGTTTCCTTACAAGAAAACTCCTCCATTAATTTAGCATAATCAGGACCTGGGTCAGGCTCCTTAAGCATGGAGGATCTGAAACTCCCCAAACTCGCCAAATACAGAGCCCTCGTCCGCTCGGCGTACTTGATGATTCCTGCAAGAAACATCAAAGTGGAAGGAACCCAGAGCTTGTTTTGGGGAATGGTTTGAATGAAAATATAAACAGTGGCAACGACCTGAAAAATCAAGCCGATTAAATGGCGAAGCCAGAGGGCATTGTCCTCGAGAGCAAAGGCGGTAATGGTGTCGGGACCGCCGAGATGGAGGAGAAGAAAAGGGGCCCAGAAGGCGAGGAGTTCTTGATTGGCATCGGACTTTTTCTTGTTACTGCTGTCGTCGTTGTTGTTGGAAATGAGGCCGACGATGAAACTGGCGGTCCAATCGGCGAGGAGATAGGCAGACCAGAGGAGGAAGATGGGGAGTTTTCTAGAGGTGCGTTTCCTGAGAGGAGCACAGAGGATTAGGAAGGTTTGTAAGGAGAGACTGAAGAGGATTAGGCCTCTAATGTTCCATTCTTCCCAGATTTCTTTAACTCTTGGTGGAATTATATCGAGCGTCTGGTTATTTGAGGGTGGTGTTTCGAGAAACAGAGTGTGGACTGGAAATTTCTCAGTCAGGGAAGCCATGGGAGTGGGTTTTTTCAGCTGAATTTGGTCTTGTTCATGTCTGGTTGTGTTCCCATTTTTTGTAGGCTTGTTGAAATGAAGAATTGAGAACGAAAAAGATTTCAGAGACGAACTGGAAGGCTAAGAAAGGACTGGTCAATTATGGAGGAGGATAAAGCAAAACATTGACTTTCTTTTCTTCTTTTGACCAATATCTTACTTCTTTATCAGATCATCATTACTTTACTTTTTACTCTTGATTCCTAATATAAGATTTGAAACATGGTTTTGTTTTGGTTGTTTTTTTTTAATATTTAGACTATATAACTTTGATTTCTTATTTTGACCAACAAAAACTTTATAACTTTGTTAGGAATCCCCGACCTTCCACAATTATATGATGTTGTCCACTTTAAACTTAATGTATTTGTTTTTGTTTTTTTCAAAAATGCTTGAACCAATGAAAATAGTGTTCCTTACTTATAAACCCACAATTTGCTCTTCTCGGTAATCCTCAACCACCTATACTAACAATTACCTTTGATTTTCGTAGTGGAAACTATGTGTTAACTAATTTGTTTGAAGAACTACTTATGAAAGAGAGAATTGATATATACTAATTTAAAAGAGTCAAACAGGATGAGGACAGGGAACAAGGATCGACAAGGTCATCTGGTTCTTGTCTTCATTTAGCTGGCGAGGAATTTTCTTTTCTTCCTGGGACTCCATGTCTCGCCCAACCATGAATTTTCACCAGAAAAATGAAGATCTAGATCCAACTTCAATGACTCAATTCAATTTTCTATGAATGAAATCAACTCATGAGCGAACATTCAGGAAACATAAACAAAATGAATATAGACTCAGAAAGACTATACATTTATCATACGCACCATAACCAGCTGCTCTTTTATGTTGCTGTTTCTCAATGCCACCTTGTTTTTATCACTACTGGCATGGTTTCATCCACACTCCATTGGCATCACAGGGGCAGAAAGTAACTCTTGGACATCGTACTTTCTGCAAGTAACTCAAATTTGGGAAAGATTTCTGAAGTTCTCTCCATTCTATCTTTAATTCCGTCATGTATTTCAGACGAACGACCTCGGCCTTCCATGGTTCGCTCCCGAGCTCTGCTAGTTTCCCTCCTCTAATGTAGAGTCTCTTCAGGCTTGTCAAATTTGAAGGATTTAGCCATAAGGGTAGCTTCTCCTTTGGCAGACATTCCATCTCAAGCTTCTCTAACTCTTTTGGTAGTTCTAAGATCACATCATTAGACTGATCCCTTTGTTTGCTCAATTGCATGGTTAGCTGTCTGCCGATTTTCCTCGTTACTTGTCGTATCATGTTTCGTTCGCCTGATGATGGTTGCTTCAACCCTTCGGCCACCCATACAATGCCGAGAGTTCGAAGCTTACCGTGCTCCCCAAGATCTTGGAGAACACGGAGATCCGTGTCGTTGGGGAAATCACGCCTGTTCGTGTTGATGCTCAACTTTCTGAGCTTCTTAAAACCTTTCAGATCATTAAGACTTGACCTCCCTGTAACAAACCCCTTCAAGACTCTAAGTTCAGTGAGTTTGGATATGCTTTTTGGCATCTGATCAAGCATATAGCAGCCGGAGACATCCAAATGTGTGAGCCTCTTGAGAGATCCTATGCCCTGAGGAAGTGTCTCCAGATTGAAACAAGATTTCAAGTCTAACACCCTGAGTTCACTCAATGTTCTTATGGAATTTGGAAGTTTGTAGATCCAGGAGATCCCTTGGAGGCTCAAAAGCCTCAGTTTTTTCATTTTCTTCAAACCTTCTAAGAACTCAAGGCTTTCGACCTCAATTTGCTGCTCATCAACTGCACTTTGCCACCTCCCCAAGTAAAGAACTTTGAGGTTTTTCAGCTTAAGCAACCACTCCACAACTTTGTCAGTTCTCATGTCTACTTCCCCTTTCTTGGCCAACCACTCCAATGCAGAATCAGGGAAAGGTTGGCTAACATTGAAGATTGATTCCACGGTAACTTCCAAATTCTGATCCACCGTCGGTGCTTTCGGCTGGCGAAGACCTCCCCCCTTCACCAGAAAAATCCTATCACAGCCAGGAGATTTACCAATTGGGTTGTCCCCGGAATCATAATTCAAAAACTGCTCTTTTTTGGCCAGGATAATTGCAGCAGAACGAACAATAGGGGGCATTGTAAACTTCTTTTTGACCTTCTTCTGTTCTTCCTTCAGCGGCACAATCAAACCCTTGTCTGCAAATTTCTTAAGGATCTCACCAGCACGAACTTCAGGCATTTGATCTCCACTGCCTGAAGAGTCCAGAAGGCCTTCTCCAATCCAACAATGTGTAAGTAATCGCTTCTTTAACACTACATTTTCAGGAAACGCAGCAAAATACAAAAAACACTTCTTACAGATAACATCACCAAAGCCGTTGTAAATTTCCTGAATTTCTATAAAAGCAGGACTTTCGTTGAACACCTCATGGGCATACAAATTTGGCAACTTGAACTCATCCTGCCTCGCCGTTCCACCTCCCTTGTCAACCAAATGGGCAGTGCTTCCAGCCAAGGACAACTTTTGGTACGAAGGAATTTGGAACTTCAACGTCTTCATATCCTTACTTACCGCATCAATAAAATTCTCTTCGATTTTCTGATCTAATTCGATGCTTTTGATAACCTCCTCGAGACTGGCTTTTATGTTCTGTATCGGCTCTTTGAGCTGCTTGTCGAGCTCGTTTGTTGCCTCCAACGCCCCCTTCAAATGCTCGATGTTGGACAATAACTTATCAAATTGGGGATTTTGATTCGCCCTGATGCTAGCATTAGTTTCTGTATTAGGCCTTTCAGCCTCCTCTATCTGATCGTCGGCGGAGGCTGGAGCACGCCGATTAGCGGCGGCTTGGGCCCTGGTGGTGGATTCTTTGAGGGCAGTGGAGAGCTCTCCGTGCAGTTTCGACAACGATTCGATCATTTGGGGAATTGTTGGAATTAGGGCTGAAGCTTGCGGATGTAAGGGAGGAGATCGGGAAGCCATTGCTGCAGAAAGCTCAGTGAAGTTCGGAGATGACTGAAAGAAATCAAAAGATCTGGAATTTGTTCGGATCAAATGATCAATGGTTGAAGAAAAGAAACTAAAAAAAAAGTAATTATTCGTAAAAAAAGATTAAATTACAAATTTCTTCGTAAAAATTAGAATTTAATTCTAATAATTTTAAACATTAGATTTTTCTTCTTATAAATTCTTTAAATTTAATTTTTATAATTTTTTTAATATAATTTTGTTGTAATAGTTCAGTAAAATTTCATAAATACTTGGGCTAATTTTAAAATTCTCCATAATTTTAATTTTAATAATAAAATTCAAACTTTCCAATAAATTCAAAGTTAAACTTGCTAGACAAATCTTCCACGAAACCAAAGATTCTTCCCTTCCTTTGTCACTTTTCTTTCATCTCACCCATCTCGACCCACCATACTTGCATCGAGTTTGAAGATTTTAACTTGAACTTTTGTCTACTCCCGAACTTCTATAGCTAACTTAGACAATCAAATCCGCTTCAACTAAAACGGTACATAAAATAACAACCAGCATGAGCGCGAACAAAAACAAGACAAAAAAAGATTTCATGTTGTGCATATGATTGACACTTGAGTTTCGAAATAATACAAACCCTTTGTAAAATAGTTTAAGGTTATTTTAAAAACAAAATATTAAAGATTTCCATCATTGTCATATACCAATATTTTATTCCGACGTTTATAAAGTTTTAAAATAGTAATTGATATAAAATGAAGTAAGTTTGTTCGTACTTTGTAGCTTTAAAAATGGTTCAAAAATGTGTTTATGAACCATTTGACTTTTATCACTTCATTGTTAATTTGATTTCAAAGATGCTTAGGAAATGAGATCATGTGCAATTAAACCCTAAAACTAAAATACCTCAAAGACTTTGACTATGCCATTTAAAAGCCTTCCAATATGGTCTTTTTAAATGTTTCCTCATATCAACCCCTCTTTATTAAATTTATTCAAATCATATTCAATCATTGCATCTCCTAATGTTTTTTCAAATAGTATATTGTTACTGATATAGTCCGCTTTAATCTTTGTTGTATTATATATTCCAGTCCGCTCTATTTTTTAAAACGCGTCTATTAGGAAGAGCTTTCCACACTCATTGTATGAAATGTTTTTTCCCTCTTCAATCGATGTAGGAACTCACTTAAAAGAGTGTGAAAACCTCTTCCTATTGGACGTGTTTTAAAACCTTGAGGAGAAACCCGAAAAAGAAAGCTAAAATAGGATAATATCTACTAGCAATAGATGTGAACCATTACAAATTGATTGCGAATGACACCAATTTTTATAATAAGAGATGAGATTGTGGGGAAGAAACTTTCTTTTCTCACCCACCTAATGGTTTGCGTATTCATATCATAATTTCTTGTTTTGATGTCACGTTGCATCGATTCGATTTGAAGGGTGAGATAAGAAATAATTAAGACCGTTCAATTTTGTGTCTAATAAAATTTTATTATTTAATCTATTCCAATTTAGAACGGATTCTATCTTGTCTGACCAGCTTAAATTAAATAATTTATATTTGAAATTAAAAGTTTTAAATATATTAAACTTAAAAAATGAGGTAGGTTAAAGGTTTAAATTTAATTAATAATAATAATAATAATAATAATAATAATAAAAAAAGATAAGAGAGATGAGATTGCCACGTTCTCGTTGGGCTCTAAAAAGATATAAAACCAAAAGTCTTCGTTTCTCCCATCAATTTGATTTCCAGTCAAACACAATCTTCACAATGAGTTCCGATTCCGGCGAGACCCTTACCTCCACCGTGGACAACGCCCGGAGCATGACAAACAGACTTCAAATCCAGGCGGCGCACCCTCTCCACCACCACCAAAACCACCCTCTCGCCTTCATAAACTCCCTCGACACTCTCCACCGTCACTTCATGATCTCTTTACAAGAATTCTCCAACCCTTCTATTTCCACTCTCCTCTTCCGCTCCACCGGCTTCTTCCACTGCGCCGCTTGCTCCTCCACCTCCACCGGCGGCCCATCCTTCCACTGCCTCACCTGCCCTTTCTCCATCACCGCCGCCTGCGCCTCCCTCCCCCTCGTCTCCGTTAACCACCACCCCCACCCCCTCCTACTCCTCAATAGAAACTCCGATCACAAGCATTTAATCTGCGCTCTGTGTGATGAAGGAATCAGTTTCCCGAGTTTCATCCGTTGTGTCCATTGCGACGCGTTTTTTCATGTCCAGTGCGCTCTCCCGCCCGCCATTAAAGTTGACCACCACATTCATCCGATGGTGCTTTCGAGCTGTGAGGCTGTCGGTAACAATGGCGAAGATGATGATAGTTCGTGTAGCATTTGTGGAGATGAAAGAGATGAGATTTCTTGGGTTTATTGGTGTAAAATCTGTAGATTTGTCGCCCATGTTGGTTGCGTCATCTATGATCATCAGGTTCGTGATTTTCTCAATTGAATTCATGAGTTTAATTCGCATTCCCCTGTTTTGAATCATCATTCCCCTGTTTAAATTTCCCCTGCAGATCCCAAGTGAAACAGAGCCGCCAGAAGAAGCATCAATAACATCTCAATTTGGTACATTGGCATTGAATGATAAACACTTAGAAGCAGATGATCATCACCATGAAAGAATATTAAAGCCTGGAGTAACCCTTCAACAGATCCTCGATTCTTTCTCTGAATCCGACGATGTTGAGTATCAAAGCCTCGTCAACGCAATGTTGCAAGACGCCGGCGGCGACGACGACGACGACGAAACCAGCTCGGAAGACAAATATTCGAACTATTTTTCATATCTTGAGAAACCCCTTTATTATCTCTTAGAAAGACTCGAACTTGGAGAGGATGGCGGCAACCCTTTTGAAGGTTTTGATAGGGACACTCCGACGGTGCGCGCCGGCAGCCGATACTTGATCTCGGAGAAACTGGTTGGAACATTCAGTGCAGTTTTTGGCAAATATGGTGATATCTCAGGTATTATATGATTCAACTTTCACCGGTATCATATTATGACCTCCAAATTCGAAACTATTATGACGGCCATGTTGAATGGAATTGCAGAGAGATCAAATATGAGCATCAAAGTGAAGACGATTGTGTGGAACTTGTTCTGCAAAGTGATAGACGACATGTCGAGAACGGAGTTCGAGAAGATGACGGGAGAGGGTCTAGTTTCATGGTTGATAGGGATCAGGGCGATTGAGCTGGCTGGGTTTGAAGTGGGGTTCGCGTTCGAAGGGTGGAAGAAGATAGCAATGGGGTTCTTTGGAGGGAAAGGGAAAGAGGTGGGTGAAGGGATGGTTGCAGAAATGGAAGAGAAGATTGAAGAACAGCGACTCAAACTTCAAAACCTCTGTGAGGAACGAGATAAGCTTCTGAGCTTAACAGAACAATGTCTAATGGAAGCTCTGGCTATGGAGGGGAAGCGTGTAGGAGATGCTTTGATCTAAAAAACTCTTTTTTTTTTTTTTTTGGTTTGGAAGTTTAATTTTACATTTTTTTTTCTCGAAGTTTAAATGTCATTTTCATCTAAAATTTATTAAATAGACAATGAATTAAAAATTTAAGGTTCAATTATAAATCAATTTTATTTTTTTGATTAATGGATGGATTTAATTTTAATTTATTGTTAACATCGAATAAAACACAAAATTGAAAGTTAGAAATTCATCCGAGACTTGTTCAAAGACCCAGTAGACACAAAATTAATAAATTATGGACTAAGATTAAAAAATGAACTTTAAACTTCTCCTTTTAACTATCAACTTTTAAACAGTGCATTGATATCATTTGTTACAATCACACTTTTTTTAGTAGTGAATTTTTGCGATTGTGCAACATTTACTTTCAACACCGAGTTAGTCAAGTCAATTGGGATTCGTGTCACTTACGATTGGACAATGTATGCTCATGCTTATAGCCCCATTTTGAGAAGAAGATTTTAGAGAATGGGAGCAAAGAGATTTTTGAAAACAGAGTTTGAGATGAGAATGAAAGAAAATTAAAACCAACGTGATATAACTATAAGCAAAAGACAGCACAACGTCTTAAATAATATATAATTTTTAAGGTAACTAAAATTTGACAACTAGTTTCATCTTCTAGTACAGTTTGATTGTTTAGCTTAGAACAAACAAACTGAAAAATGTATATGACTTTGTATGCTATTGTATAAAATTATTCAATGCAATAGACACCTACCCATGAAATTTTAATATAATGGAAGAATATGATAGCAATATAACCAAACAATTTTAAGAAAAATAAATATTGAAAGTGAATTTTATTTTCTCCCTCCAATTCCTCCCTCGTGTCTCGTTAAATGGATGATCAGAGTCCCAATCTTTGGGGAGCCTATAATTTCAACAAAAAATAAATAAAAATCTTTCTTTTAAAGAGAATTTTATAGAAGTTGAAACAAAACTGGTGATTTGATTGGTTTTATAATTTGGCGTTGTTATTTCTCATTCTCAAACAACCAAAGTTGTGCGAGGGAACTCGGAATATCATCACCCAACTTCCTTCTCTCGGCAAATCTCTACTTCCACTCTCCAACTAATGGCGTTTTCTTCACTGCCCATCATCTTCTTCTTCCTTTTCGTTTCAATAATCATCCCAATTTCTCATTCCATACCTTTCATAGTGCTCCACGGTGTGTATCTTCTTCCATTCTCGACTTTCTTCCCCTCTTTTTCTGTTTCTATTTTAATCCAACTATCTTCTTTTGTATCCGATGATTCCTTTATGTTTCTTATCAACTGGGTGTGTTTAAATTCTGCCGATTCAACTTGTTGGATGAAGAAATCGACTGTTGGGTATCGATAATTTTTGTTTCCTCGAAAGGGTATTTCCGAGGGATGTTTGGATGCTGAAATTTGTTTTCTGGAAATTACTGTTCCTGGTTGTTTGATTCTAGGTCTACAGAGATTCAAATCTGTTCTTGGAGGAATATTTGAGACCCCCCCATCCCTGTATTTTGTTTTTCTGGAATCTGTAGGTTTCAGCTTCTAACCCACTTCTTGATTTGTTTTTTCTTTATGGTTTATCCAGCTGATCTCATTAAGTTGGTGAGTTTGATTGAGTTGCAATGTTGGTCAGGGTTCAATTGGAGCTATTTAAAGCCGTCTGTCGTGTTTTAAAAGTTTCTTGAGTTGATATTTTCTCTCAATTGCAGGTATTGGAGATAAATGCTCAAATAAAGGCATGAGGAAGTTTACAAAGTACTTAAGTGATAATTCTGGTGCTGAGGGATATTGCATGTATGCTTGTCCGAAGATCTGTATCCATTTTCATTACTAACTTGTTATAAGCTTGCTTTGATGATATACTAACATGTTATAAGCTGCCATTATATTCATATTAATTTGTTATAAGATTGCTCTCATGATTGACTGAGCTGCGAGCATTGATATTGCTTCATCCATCTTCCTACAGAGAAATTGGCAATGGGGGATGGGATTCGTGGTTTATGTCCCTTGAGGAGCAGGTTAGATAATGAGTACTATGATTCAATCATCTTGAAACGACCAATAAGTTTTTCAAGTTGTGATGTTTCTGTTTTATGTTTGGCAGTCCCAAATTGTTTGCAACAAGGTGGTATAGTTCTCCAGCTGGTTTTTATTCCAATTGGATTTTGACATCGATGTTAACGTGCAACTAGTTCGTTACTATGACTACAGGTGAAGAAAATGAAAGAGCTAAAAGAGGGCTTCAACTTTGTTGGTCTCTCCCAGGTGATTCATGACGACTTGAGAACTATAATTCTGTAACTAACGATAGTTTGTGTCTTGTCCAATCGTCTTGTCTTGTTCTTGTACTTGTTCTCGTTCCCCTTCCAACTTTTCATAAAGTAGTAAAGATTAAGATAGTTTAACTCACTCTGGGACACATTTGGTTCTCTTAATAGGGTAACTTAATCGGCCGAGCAGTCGTAGAATTCTGCGATGGAGCGCCTCCTGTGAGAACCACTTTGATTATTTACCTTCTAGATTGGTGTTTATCAGCCTGATATGTAGTGAATCTAATTTGTTGCTTCTCTGTTCATGGGAATAGGTTAAGAACTTCATCTCTTTAGGGGGTCCTCATGCTGGCATAGCCTCTGTTCCACTTTGTGGTGTAAGAACTGTTCTTATGTTCCATCTGCATGGGAATAGGTTACATTTTCTGTTGCTGAAGGCCTTGAATATATTTGCAGTCTGGCATTTGGTGCATACTTGCAGACGACATAATGAAGTTAGGTATCTACTCAGATGCTGTCCAAGTACGTCTCCATATCCAAGCTTCCTTAAACTCTATGGTTTTGTGTAAATTGTCAACAAATCTGTGAGATCCCATGTCGGTTGGGGAGGAGAACGAAACATTATTTGCAAGGGTGTGGAACCTCTCCCTAGAGGGGAAGTCCAAGAGGACAATATCTGCTAGCGATGAACTTGGGCTTTTACAAAATTGAAGTCTTGACACGTTCTCTTATTATTGTCTTGCAGAATTCTTTGGCTCCTAGTGGTTATATTAAAATACCGAATGTGAGTTATATTTGTTTACAAACCCAGATATGATTTCTGTACATCTCCAAGTTCTCAATGATCCTTGTTTTCTTTTTCAGGATATCCCCAACTATTTAGAGCACTGTAAGTTTCTCCCGAAGCTTAATAACGAACGCGCCGGTGCTAGAAACTCGACATACAAGGAACGATTTAGTAGTTTAAAGAACTTGGTGCTAATCATGGTAAGTTTGATGTATGGATAAGCTGATGCAAATTTATAGTGTTATTGTTTTGTCATATTATTTTTGGTTTGGCTCACTGTTTCAATAGTTTGAGGATGATAAGGTGCTGGTCCCAAAGGAAACGGCGTGGTTCGGGTATTACCCGGACGGGGAGTTTGAGCCTGTTTTACCCCCACAGCAGGTACAACATTTTGGATGTCATAGCATTGCCAGATCTTGGCTAAGAATTGAAAAACACAACGCACACATACACGCACACGCACACGTTTTAGGCACGGTGACGTTGCGGTGTCTTAGCACCATGATTGTTTTGGTGCAGACAAAGCTTTACACAGAGGATTGGATTGGATTGAGAAGGCTAGATGAAGGTGGAAGAGTCCAGTTTATAAAAGTTGAAGGAGGTCATCTTGGAATCTCGTACAGTGATGCAAAAAAGTACATTGTGCCTTATCTGGAGGAACAGCAGCAACCTCTTCAATTTGGTTTACAAAGCAAGCATGTTTCTTGGAGTTTAGCTTACAGGAAGTAGTAGCTTTCAAGCTACAATCGAATACCATCAACAACCTGCTTTTGCAATATTCATATTGTACTCTTTGCAATATTCATATCACTATTTCGACCAAAACTATCCCGGTTAAGAACTAGGACTCTCTACAATGGTATGATATTGGGACTCTCCACAATGGTATGATATTGTCTACTTTGAGCATGAGCTCTCATGACTTTGTTTTGGGCTTTCCCAAAAGGCCTCGTACCATTGGAGAAAGTATTCTCCACATATATATCCATGATTTGGGACTCACTCCCAATAATCCTCAACAGCTCCTCCCTGCTCTCTCTCTTCGGCGACCGCAGCTCATGCTCCAAAGAAGTCGTCTTCTTCGGCCGGTGATGTGTACTAGTAGTATACGCCCTCTTTCAGTTACTTCAGTTTTCTCATCGACGTCATGGACTTGGACAATGCCATAAGCGACTCACCCATGAACACACGACATTGCACGTCTTCTTCGGTGAACAGCGGCAATGTCGTAGCTTCAAATTCTCGATCCACGTGGCAGTGTGGCGCTCCATCTCTTGTCCACATATGTTCGATTTGTAGAAGACCCACGTAAACAGTCGCTATGGACTACCTTAGCGATTGGGGTTTTATAGCCATTCTCCGCAACGACGTTCGATGTTGGTGTCCTTGGACGACAACGTAATTGTCTTCCACGTAGTAGATCCACGAGACCCAAACCTCGTCGCGTGTTTTTTGGCAGATAGATGGCCTTTGGTTATGACCCACAACCTGAACAAACAAACTGGAATCTTTATGGAACTCAAATCAGCAAGCATTCAACTCTCTTTTTACTCTTTCGGACTCGATAGAAATGTCTTTGAATGACTGCTAACCTTTTATATCCCTTTACGTAAGGGTTCAAAGTTCAAACTGATCCAACTAAGTTTTTAGATGTGACGAAGATGTTAGGTAAGCATGTGTTAGAAGCCTTTAAATTCAATTTCAAGATGAGTTGAATTGTAATTACCTAAATTGGAAAGTTTATTCAATTCAGCCAACCTAATTAATTTTTCTATTTATATTAAAGTCTTATCACGCTTTTCAGATAAATGTCAATTATGCTAAAAGAATGATGTTCATGAATAACAAATTTAAAATATTTGCATCAATATTTGAGTCATTTCACGTTCTTATAAGATTCTTTCAAGTTTTCAATTGCTAGCATACAAGTAGTAATAACCTTAGTCAATTGAGGTCGTTACACGTGTGTATTCAAGAAAGATAAATCTGATCAAGGAGTAAAGAACCATTCAGGCTTGCTTCCAAATCAATCAATGGCAATTAAAGATCAGAAATTGAAAGCACAACCAACTAACCAAACCCCTACCAAACACACGCACACACAGAGAGACTGTTTTAGTAGTACCCCTTCATTCTTCAAGAGTGAACCTATGCACTGCGCTGCAGCTAGGACGAAGAAACCAACGCCACAATTTAATTCTAGATGAATCGCCTAGTAGGTAATGAAACTAAGTATACTAAAGTAAATTATAGAGAGAATGTTTGTTTCTGCAGACAGGGTTGGGATTATAGGCACACAACGAAGAAAGAACAGCGGAAGTAAAATCCCCAATTTCAATTATTAGATCAGTTGGAACCAACTTCATAAGTAAATCCTGCAATAGAAGTATCAATTGGAGCATCTAAGAGTAATTGTTCTCCTTATCTATCACTGAGGGATTCAATTTCTCTACCAAATAAGTTCATTAAGGTTCTCAAAGGAAGAAAAATTCAAGCAGAGAATTGTTAATACTCAAAGACGAGGGATACAGAAAAGGGTTTGTTTTTCACCAAAACCACAGAAACCATGATTTACAGACATGAAAATATACACGGCATCTTATAGATTAGCAATTAACAAAAGTGTTAACTAAGATGAGAGCAATCTTCAAGAACAAATTATTATACGAAAGCTACCTAGCCTCTCATAACATGCAGAACAAAACAGAAGAATGAACACTTTGAGATATTTGGAATTCCAAATCAAAATTAAGGCCAAAACAACTAAATTAATCAGTATTTGAAGGCAAACCCACAAAAGGATTTGAGTAAAAGGAAAACAAAAAAAGTGAAGGCCATCGAAAACATTCACAAAATTAATGGTCAGATATCCCGAAGTCCCCATGTAAAAAAAAAGGTGCAGAACTTGGAAGTTCTTTCAGCATTTTACTAACAAGAAAAAGATTTGGTGGAAAAATGACTCGCAAGAAGCTGCTTTGAGCCATTCAAATGCAGTAAGAACGATCAAACATCGCAAAGCATTAAGGAAGGATGAAAAAATATCACCATCAGCATCAGCTTGAAGAATGCGAGTGAAAGTTCTATCTGAAAAAGAATGCACTGCCTGCTATAGCAATTGCATAAGAAACCAAGCTCTTGAAAATCTAGTCCCCAGCAATCTAGGGAAGCCTGTCAAACATTATGATTGATCAACTAAATAAGAATTGCCCACATGAGCAATAAAATTCCAAACTATATCACAGAAGGCTTTAATAACAAAACCTTATAATATGATTCAATTCAGCGTACTAACCTCTACTTTCATAAGAAAAGTACTAAGTCGAAAACTAACGCTAAAACCTGCCCTTTCATCGGACCAGAGAGATTACTACAAGTAGGAACAACAACACAGAAAAACTGGATTTCCCACGTGTTCAATTTGAATCGTAATTTCGTTTCTTCTTCCTAGAAGTAATAACGGTATACCTCCAACAAGGGTCCCAATCAAGGCATGGCAGGCAAAATCTTCCAACTTCAAAGATCAAAAAATATCCATCGTCATCATGCCTATCTCTGCAACAACAAAAACCAAAGCGTGTGGGAAAACGAAAAATCGATAGTTTGCCATGTTTGAAAAACGAAATCAAAGAAATGAAGAAACATTAATACACCGTCGTGTTCAGAATTCAATGAAATGGCGGAAATCGGAATTGCATTTAGTTGTGGGCAAGAAGAAAAGTTTTTTAGAGTACCTTGGCCGGAGAATCGGCGATACGATAGGCGTCTGCTGTAACACCGACCAACCACAGTCCAGGAAACACAGTCTGAGAGACGAACAATACATTGAGCATCAAGAAAAAATAATAACGAGACCGTTTCAGTACAATCACAAGCAGAAAAGAAATAGTAAGAAATTTCAGGAAAATTCATACATCGAGTTGCTTCTGAACATTCTTAGGTCTCTTCTTCGGCCGTCTGGAAGGTCTAGATCCAGTCATGATAAAAATATCTTCCTCAATCTCATCTTTAGACAGAGCGATCCAGAACTTTCTCTTCTCCTTCTTCTCAATCCTATGCGACTCTGTAAATCCTCGCAACCGGAGCGATTTCGGCTGCGGATTCTCCCCTTGCTGAAACGCACCAGCAGCGGAAGAAACAGCCCCGTCCTGTTCTTGCAAGTCTCGTCCATTCTTCAAATCACAAAAGCCTCTCAAGGACAGGCCCTTCCGCGGCCTGAGATTCCAAGGCTTCTGCACTATTTCCTCCGCCTCGGCCTCCTCACCTTCCCGCTTCTGCTCCTTCACAACTTCTTCTCCGACCTCACCTTCAGAATGCTTCGCGGATTTATCTCCCAGTGAGCATGGTGAAAACGGCAATCTATTCCGAGCGGTGCGCGATCCAACTCGAGGTTGATGCTTGGAGTCTGCTTCAGACTCCGGTTCAGAATGATCGACGGCAGGTGATGAGTCGCCGCCAATTTCCCGCCGAATGCGGTGATTACTGTTGGTCTGATTCTTCCCACCCCATTTCAGAAATGGGAGAGCGAAGTTGTGCAAAGGATGAGACTTAACCGGCCCTGTAGCCATTGAAAATCCCACGAACTCCACAATCTCTATCGACAAATCGTCGTAAAAACACAGAATACTTCTTCCTCGGCGCCGTTTTCGGAAACAACCTTCACAATCTGTATCTACAAAGCCTTGTGAGACGACCTTGAGTGGCTTCTAGAGATCAATGATCCCTGAGAAGAGATGATCAACGGCACAGGACGGAGGCGCCGTGCGCGGTGGAGACGGACGAAAGGCAAGAGAAAAGAGAGACTGAGTTTTTTTTGGTGTGAAATGTGTAATGGGCTTCGTGTTCGCCTAACATATATAAGAGATGCAGAGACGTAGTTCGTTCTGCGTCCACGGTTTTTTCCCTGACGTTTGTACGATTTTACCCCTACCCTTTCTTTATATTCATGCCACAAGGTTTAATATTCGAATAACATTATATTAAAATTCAATCTTAAATCTTTCCAATTACTCTGATAAATCTATGAATTTAAAATTATTTAATAAATTTATAGTTTTTTTTTCTTTTTAATTTTAAAGTGTTTATTAAATTTTTAATATTTAATATTCAATTTTATAAAATTTTAAATTATTAATGAAATGGGTATGAAAATTTTAATTTTTTAAATAATTAAAAAACCTAATAACCTAACTCAGCTGAGTATCAAATAACATGTTGGGCTAAATTATAACTTCTATTCAGGTTGTTCGGGCCATCAACCCAATTAAATCGAAAGGATGGAACTCCACACAAGACCAAAATCTTAATTTTGGATTCATTTATGTCATTTTAAACCTATTAAAATTATACCAATTTGATTTTTAAACATCATTTTTGCAAAATTTATATATTTCTTTTATAAACCTTTTTTTTTAGTTTAAATGTAACAAATATATTTATATAATACAAAATTTACACGGAAAATATTCATACGATAAAAATACTATGAACTAATAAATTTATATTTTAGTTATTTTCATATGATAACATTTTAATTTTTTTAATTAAAAACCAGACTTAATTATGGAATGAATAAAATATAGACCTAAAAATAAAACAGTTATTTAAAGGATTATAGACACTTTTACAAAAAAAAAAAAAAAAAAAAAAAAAAAAAAAAAAAAAAAAAAAAAAAAAAAAAAAAAAAAAA